GTTCAGAGAAGCTGGGCTTTTGAAAATGTAAATGGTTTCAGTGACTTTTTGTATCAATATATTACAAAATATTAAAAATCAGTGATCAGTTATAGAATATAGGTCCCTATTATGACCTGCAAAGCTCTTTGTTAAAAAATAAATAACAACTTTGTATTTAGCTTTAACCAAGTGTGAAATTTAATCAGAAGTTATCTAAGATTCTAAAATCTAAGTTTACCCCAAGAGATATATTTCCATTATCCTACATACATGCACGCGCACACACACACACACAAATTCTTAAGTTCTCCACCTTAAACATCATAGTGGAAGCTCTCAGCAGGCTGCTTCATGCCACAGGCCATGTACTTGACCTTCGGTGCCTCAAGAAGAACAAGATATATGAGGTATAAGAACTTGCTTCACCTGTGCACCTTTATCATCAAAACTATGGATGAATCCCATTATAAACTTTGAGCCAACCTGCTGTTCAGTGAAAAATGAATTATGAATGAGTTTGTCAGTGGCTCAGAATGAAACATAAATGCACCTAGTTCTGTATTTGTCTTAATTCTCAATTAATATTTTTAAAAAGTAATTTTACTACAATGTACAGTTGCTGCTCTATTCAACCACCTACATTTTATTGCATTAATACATTTGTACTTATTTTTATAGTTGTTTCCATCTTCAAGTGAGTAAATTTAATTAGGAGACCAAAAGCATTTTTGGTTTTACTCAGTTTAGCTGAAACCCTTCCATCTGCTCTGGCTTTAAAATACTTCAAGTGTATTATGTTCAAGGTCAAGACTCAGAAGAATGATATACCTCAGCCATTCAATTAAAAAGAGAGATAGGAAAAAAAGGAGCTGCATATCACGTTTCTATTGTCAGATGTTTCAATGTGATGAAAATATATTACACACTAGTGAGCTTCGAAAGGTCACTAAGTAGAAAGCGTTCTCCTTCCTCCTTGCCTGTTTAATATGACATTGCAAGCTTACGACATTAAGGCTCCAGCACAGGTATTGTATTCATGTACTCCTCCATTCATCCTTTACCATTCACTCATTCATTCATTCATTCATTCAGAAAATTTCAAACCAGGGTGAGATAATCAGCCAATGGGTTCAGTAAGGAGAAGTGAGTCTGACTTTTCAAATAATTGTTTTAAACTACACTACCTACACTTAAGTGTCAGAAATTTAATAAGAGCTACAACTCCACAAAAGTTTAGCTTAACCTCATGATTATGTTTTGCCTCTCTCTGTATTCTGAGGTCCTATCTTAATGAATGACAAGAAATAATAGGGCATTTCATGGGAAAGCCACTTCTCATTGTTGCTCTGCATGTGAAAGCTTACCCAAGAACGTTAGATAGGCACCTGAGGATGGAAGTGAACAAAATAGCTCACAGCACACTTTTGAAGTGTTCCAATGCTCATCCATCCTCAAACATCTTTTGATCTGACTTGACTCAGAAGTCTCTTGTTCCCTGTTTCTGTACTGAGTCACATTTTATCTAGGCTGCTCTGTGAACTTCTCATCCAGCTCTTCCCAACACATGCTGGCAATGAAAAGAAGCAATTGACTTTTCCATGAGTCAAACTGCCATTTATTAAGCGTGCTCCTCCCCTCTTTAAATCTGTTTCAGAAGTGAGTTTCCTTTTTCCTGGTTCCTTCCCCAAGCACAACGGGAAGCATTAACTAAACTGCAAAGTTTCATACCTTTAATTGTATAAGTTGTCAGGACAGATCAGAGGGAGAACAAGAAAGTGAACAACTGCTTTTCCACACAGCAGGAAAGTGGACAGAGTCCAAGCCTGAAAAACCTTCCCCTGTTGGCTGGACCATTTAGATCCAGGAAGAATAGTTTATAATCATCCTAAGAACAATTGCCAATGTCATGTTCTAAACCATGCATGACAGCACTACCCTTTTGTTATAAACTCTCTGTTGGCCACATTGTAGAAAATCATCTCCTCTAAATTTCCTCCCTCACTGCAGACGGCCTCTGCAAAGAGCAGGCATCTGCCACAGCCAGCTCTGCCTGCAAAGGCAGAAGGATCCCCACGGAGCAGGAGGCACCATCAGCAGACATCCAAGTGCCCTCCGAGGTGCCTTTGGCTTCTTTTCTACACCATAAAACCTTGTAACTACCCTATTCTGTTTTTTTTTCTCTCTTTCTTTTTTATTTTCTGACACAATGAGGGGAGAAAAAAGCAACATTCTAATCGAGAGACTTCCATAGGGCATAAATATTTCACTGCAATTGGACAAGTCACAATTCATCCGCCTCATTTCATTCATTACAGCTATGAATGTCAATGCACCTCATTTTTTAATATTTGAAACAAAGAATTTGACCTAAAATGCCTAAAGCATAACAATGACCTCTATGTGGATAACAAGTTAAATATCCAAAGCAGCAGTTCTATGAGTGCCATATAGATTTTGATTTCTCAACACAAAACTTGTTAATATGGCCTGAGAGAAGGCATTCCAAATTAGTGAAATATTTAACATTGGCAGACTGCTTCTGAAGAAATGCTTGGTCTTTTACTTTCAAGTAATAATGTGACTAGAACTAAACTAATAGAAGATTGCTTAATGAAATTCCTGGCTTTATGGAATAGATATGATTTCCCACCAGCACATCTGTTGTCTAGAGTATAAACAATTACTTCTAATGTACTTAAGGAAGTTTACAAAGTTTATTGACACTACTATTCTACAAATACACAGTTAGAGATAGTTTAAAGTTAAACTCTAAGGTGGCTCGTATCCAATTAAAAAAAAAAAGATAGTGTCAATAAACATTTTCAACCCAGATTTATTATAAGGAACTGAGCTAAGTGTGGGGAATAGAAAGAGTTATATAATGTATAACATAAAAGAGTTTATAATGTAATCTACAAAAACATACTGTATTAGTCAAGTTTCCCCAGAGAAGCAGAACTAAAAAACAAATTAACACATATATACAGATTTATTAAAATAAAGTATATATATTACATGTAATATACTCTATATGTATTTATTTTATAAGTATACATTACATCATTATAATAATATAATTTTACATATTTGTTAATGATATATATTTTATATGTGTTTATATGAAGAGGTTTATTATAAGGAATTGGCTCAAGTGAATACAGAGGCTAAGAAGTCCCACCGTCTGCAGTCAGCAAAGTAGAAACCCAGGAGAGTCAATGGCATAGCTCCAGACTGAGGTCAAAGGCCTGAGAAACCAAGAGAACCAGGGGTATAGCTTAAGTCCAAGCCAAAAGGCCTCAAAACCAGGAGAGCCAATGGGGTAATTTTTACTCTGAGTCCAAAAGACCTGAGAACCAGAAGAGCCGATTGTGCAAGTTCCAGTCCAAGGAAGAGAAAAATCTGTATTTCAGTCCCAGCAGTCAGACAAAGAACTACAGAGTTGTCCCTTCCTTAGCCTTTTTGTCATTCGAGTCCTCATCTAATTGGATGACACCCACCCGTATTGCAGAGGGCAGTCTGCTTTACACAGCCTATAAACTCAAATGCTAACCTCATGCAGAAACACCCTTACAAACACACTCAGAAATAATGTATAACCAAATACCTGAGCACCCCATGGTCCAGTCAAGTTAACACACAGAATTAATCATCGTAAGTCTGCCCCCTGTCCACTTGGCACCCATACACATATCCTTAAGCTGTATTTAATTTTGAAGTAAAAACAATAACATTGTAATTCTACCTAACATGATACAGCTATCCTATGTACAACCAAAAACACAATAGCCTCTGCCCCAGAAGAGGAGATGAAATTCTTAAGTGATATTTAATCTTCTCCTTGATATTCCATAACTTAAATACTATGATATAAAATTAATATTTAAATATTATGATTTAAAAATCAATACTGTTATTTTATATGATAAGGGAATAAGAGAAGAAAGACATACATTCATGTGTCCTATATTTATTTATTTATTATTATGTTCTACACTTACTACATGTACTGAAACTACCTTTTTAACTATCTATCCTGTGTTCGTTCCCTCAGCGTCCAGCAAAAACCTGAGGTAGTTGTGGTTCTTCACCTGGTGAGGTAACTTAAACCCTCATTCCTGAAAGGTCAGGGCAATTAGTAGTGCTACCTGGATTGGGTTTTTATAGTTTTCCATTGACCTTAATCACAGGGCATGGTAACACTAAGAAATGCCCTAAGGGATTTTCTGTTTTCTTTCTCACCTCCATTGTCCAATTTCCCCTTGGTAGTCAGGGGCAACAACCCTGGCCAGCACAAAAACTCTCTTCTTTGCCTACTGATTCAGAGGGATGAGGGTCCCAGAGCATCTGGCAGGGTAGCAGTATTAACTTCCAGCTCAATGGCGTCATTGTGGTGTCTCTGGATAGAATCATTCTTACCTCTGGAATTAAGACCTCTAGGCCAGCAGATCATAAGGTCAAAGGAACAGAAAGCAAAAATGTTGCTAATGATTCAGTAGGGGTGATAGTGAGGGGTGCGACTCCCATTTCCACTCCTTGAACCCTGGACCCCATGAATCCAGGTTATGAGAGGGAAAAAACACCATATATTGGATGCTGATTCAACGTGGAGGCTCCTCAAAAAATGAAAAATAAAATTACCATGTGATCCAGTAATCTCACTTCTGGGAAGATATCTAATGGAAAGAAATTGCCATTTTGAAATATCTACCTTTCATGCTCACTGCAACATGATTTACAATAGCCAAGACATGGAATCTACCTAAGTGTTTATTGACAGATGAGTGAATAATTATATGATCTCACTTATACGTGGAACCTAAAAATCAGACTCAAACAATGAAAAGAGATTGGTGGTTGCCAGGATTAGGGGTAGGGATGTGAGAAATGCATGAAGATGATCAAAGGGTACAAATGTTCAATTATAATAAGTTCTGGTGATGTAATATACAGCATGATAATTATGGTTAACAATACTGTATTGTATATTTAAAGATTGCTGAGAGAGTGGACTTTTTTCCCAGGGGAGAGCATGAAAACAGTCCCCCTCTGCCACAAATTATGCCGTCAAGTTTCCCACCTTTGGGGAAATTGCAGGGATCAGCACATCCAGTGTGCAATGGATAAGCCTTGCCCTGGGAAAACCACCTTCGTGATCATGGTAGCTGCCCTGCCAAGTAAGTATAGAGAGTGAATTTTAAAAGTTCTCACTACCACCAAAAAAAAAAAATTATCTATGTGAGGTGGTAGATGCACTAATTAACCTTATTGTGTTAATCATTTTTGCAATATACGTATATATTAAATCAATACATGTACACCATAAACATACACAGCATTATATGTCAATCATATAGCAATAAAGCTGAGGGAACAAAGAAAGAACAAAATTACCTAGATGCCGCAAAATAAGGAACCAGCCAAGTAAATTATGACACATCTCTAGAGTAAAATGTTATTTAGCTATTAAAAGTAATACAATAGGTGAAAGTATACATGCACCCCTATTTTCATTGCAGCATTATTTACACTAGCCAAATTATGCAAGTAACCCAAGTGCCCATCAATGGACAAATGGATTAAAAAGTGGTGAAGCATATATACAATGGAATATTACTCGGCCATTAAAAAGAATGAAATCTTACCATTTGTGACACCATAGATGGACCTAGAGGGCATTATGCTGTCTGAAGTAAGTTAGTCAGAGAAAGACAAACACCATATGATTTCACTTATATGTGGAATCTAAATAACAAAATAAATGAACAAACAAAATTGAAACAGACTCATAGACACAGAGAGCAGACTGGTGGTTGCCAGAGGGAAGGTGGGTTGGGGACTGAGTGAAAAAGGTGAAGGGATTAGGAATTACAAATTGGTAGTTACAAAATAGTCACCGGGATGTAAAGTACAGCATAAGGAATGTAGCTAATAAGTATGTATGGCATCAGGAGGGAACACTGTGTAAAGTATATGATTGTCTAACCACTAGGCTGTGCACCTGAAACTAATAAAAAATAATATTGAATATAAGCTTTAATTAAAAATAAAATAATGTAATACAAAAATATTTAGTAAAATACGTGGTTATAAAAAAAGAAGACTATAAAAACTTCATGTGTAGCTTTTATTTATTCGGAAGAGTTTTAAGATGGCGGAAGAGTGAATGGAAGTCACACTGACCTCCTCCCTGGACCAATCTGGAATTACAACTAAATTGTGGAGAAATCACCTGGAACAAACAACTGAACAATAGTGAGAGAGAAACCTCATAACCTCAGACAGACTGAAGAATCAGCTTTAGCACAACCTGACTGGTAAGGAGTTCAGTGGAGACTCAAGAAGGCTAGCTGGGCACCCACAGGTGGCAACACCAGAAGGATATTTAAATGTCAGTTGGATCCCCCTGAGAAGAGTGGGGTCTAAACCATAAGCAGGGATCCCCAGCCTACAGCACGAGAGCCCAAAAAGTACACAGATAACAGCCAGCTGTGAAAAGTAGCAGGGTTTCTCTCTGCCAGAGATGAGAGGCTAGAGAAGCAAAGAGCCATTTAAAGGACCAACACATAGATTTTTGTTTGCAGCCACTTACCGTGGGCTTTGGAAAAGGCGGGGCAGCATGGGCTTGAAACTCCTGAGGAGAGACTGGGGAAGGAGGCTTTGGAGCGAGAACTGAGAGAGTAGCCAGTGGGATCTTGGTGCTGATTCATCCCCGCTATGGCAGCAGCCATCTTGCTCAGGCAGACCACTCCCCTGAGCGGCAGCTGCATGAGAGGAAACAATAGCCGCACTCCCCAGGAGGCATTCTGCCCTGCCCTGTGGTGCCTAAGTCTGACTGCTAAGTGCAGAGTGACTAGATTAGATTAACAACTGAAGGAGACAGCCAGTTGTTAGACAGTAAATTCCTGGAAGTCTCAAAAAGACTGCCTAAGGTCAGGCAGGGTCAAGATCTGACATCATCAGAGGCAGATCCAGAAAGAAAAAACAGTAAATACTAGAGGCTATCAAGATGAAACCCACTGCAGTCTTCTCCATGATTTGTGATATTTTCTTTACTACATAGCTTTTTAACATCCATTTCAGGTCCATCAAGTTTGTGCATAGTAAGTAATTAGATTTTATACTAATAGTTTATTTATCTCCTTTCTTATAATAATCTTCATATCTTTATAGCGTTATTAATACAATTTCATTTGCTGTTAATAGTGGGATTGTAAGGGAGAGTTATTTTTACAGATGTGGGTTTGTTTCCTGGGCTTTGTGGTTTTGTTCTGACAGCACCTGCACAAAAACACACCAGACGTGGTGGGCAGAATAACCCTTAGTTAACCAGCTGGAGGATAGGATACACCAAAGAATGATCAAACAATAAAACCCAATTACTTCCAGAGAGCCAACATAAACGGCATAAAAAGACATCCAAAGAGCATCAAGTTCAGAAGATCAAGGAGACTGCACCACTGACTGTCACAGTTCTCCTACCATAGAAGTACACACCAAAAAGACAGGAAGTCAAGACAGATCAATTTAAGAAGCAGAAGCAAAAAAGAACAGGCTCAAAAATAATGGGAAGACAAAGAAACACTCCTCATTGGAAGGGAAAGAAGGAATCCCCGGATTGAGAACTAAATGAAATAGAGGCGAGTAAGCCATCAGATATTGAGTTCAAAACAATATTTATAAGGAAGCTCAAGGAGCTCAGTGAACTCAGAGAGAATTACAAAAAAACTACAGGGAAACTACGAGGAACTTACTGCAAACTATATCAGCATGAAAAAGGATATAGAAACTATCAATAAGAGACAAGAGGAAATGAAGAATACAATTTCTGAATTAAAGAATACAGTAAAAGGAATCAAAAGCAGGCTAGATGCAGCAGAGGATTTAATCAGTGAGCTAGAGGACAAGGTAGGAAAAAGCTCCCAGAAAGAGCAAGAAAATGAAAAAAAGACTTAAAAAGAATGAAGAGGCATTTAGGGAAATTCAGGACAACCTGAACTGTAATAATATCCATATAATAGGGATACCAGAAGGAGAAGAAGAGCAAGGGATAGAGAATGTGTTTGAAAAAGTCATGATGGAAAACTTCGCTAATTGGAGGAGAGAAAAAGTCATACAAGTCCAGGAAGCACACAGATGGTCCCATTCAAGAGGAACCCAATGAGGCCCACTCCAAAACACATCATAATTAAAATGGCAAATATCAAAGAGAAAGAGAGAATCCTAAAGGTAGTAAGGGAGAAAGAGGTAGTAACATACAAGGGAGCCCCAGTAAGGCTAGCAGCTGACCTCTCAATAGAACCACTACAAGCCAGAAGGGAATAGCAAGAATTATTCCAAGTTATGAAAACCAAAGGCCTGCAACCAAGACTGCTCTGCCCAGCAAGGCTCTCTATTAAAATAGAAAGCGAAATAAGGAGTTTCCCAGACAAAAGAAAGCTAAAAGAATACAAGCCCATTGTAATCAAAACAGTCTGGTACTGGCATAAAAACAGACATACAGATCAATGGAACAAAATAGAGAGCCCAGAAATAAACTCATGTCTCTACGGTCGATTAATATTTGACAAAGGGGGAAGAAGCATAAAATGGAGTAAAAATAGCCTCTTCAACAAATGGTGTTGGGAGATCTGGACAGATACATGCAAAAAAATGAAATTTGACCACCAACTTACACCATACACAAAAATAAGCTCAAGATGGATAAAAGACTTAAATATAAGTTGCGACTCCATAAAAGTCCTAGAGGAGAACATTGGCAGGAAACTCTCAGATATCCCACACAGCAATATTTTCACTGGTGTGTGTTCTAGAGCAAGGGACATAAAGGAAAGAATAGACAAATGAGACTTTATCAAAATAAGAATCTTCTGCATGGTGAAAGAAAAAATCAGCAAAATGAAAAGAGAACCAATCATATGGGAAAATATATTTGCCAATGATACATCAGACAAGGGTTTGATCTTCAAAATATATAAAGAGCTCACACGACTCCACTCCAGGAAGACAAACAATCCAATTAAAAAATAGGCAAAGGACCTGAACAGACACTTCAAGAAGGACATACACAGGGCCCAGAGACATATGAAAGGATGCTCAGCATCACTAGCCAGCAGAGAGATGCAAACTAAAACCACAATGAGATTCCACTTCACACCAGTTAGAATGGCCATCATAAACAAATCAACAAACAACTAGTGCTGGTGAGGTTGTGGAGAGAAGGGAACCCTATACACTGCTGGTGACAATACAGACTGGTGCAGCCACTGTGGAAAACAGTTTGGAGTTTCCTCAAAAAGCTAAAAATGGAACTGCCTTTTGACCCAGCAATTCCACTGCTGGGATTATATCCTAAGAATCCCAAAACACCAATTCAAAAGAACCTATGTACCCCAATGTTCATAGCAGCACAATTTACAATAGCCAAGTGTTGGAAGCAACGTAAGTGCCCATCCATAAATGAGTGCATCAAAAAACTATGGTACATTTACACAATGGAATACTACGCAGCAGAAAGAAAGAAAGTGCTACTATCCTTCGTGACAGCATGGATGAGCTGGAGAGCATTATGCTAAGCGAAATAAGCCAGGGGCTGAAAGACAAATACTATATGATCTCACCTATAAGTGGAACCTAATCAACAAAAAAAAAAAAAGCAAGAAAAATATAACCAGCAACACTGAAAAAAAAAAAACCAACAGTAATCAGAGGGAAGGAGGGAGAGAGATAATGGAGAAAAGAAAGGGAAGCATCACATCAAGGAACATGTATAAAGGACCCATGGATAAAGCCAAAGTAAAGAAGGATTGAGGGTAGGAGGTAGGGGTGGGTGGGGCAGAGGAAAATGGTGACAGGAATGGAGACAAATGTATCTGAACAATAAAAAAGCTTTAAAATTAAAAATAAAAATATAGAATCATTTAGAAAGACAAACCAAAACTGCATGTATAGAACTACCCCATTTTCATGTCAATATTTATATGTAAAATTTTTAAACATATTACCCCAAAAACACCTGAAATAACAGTGATTAACTCTGAAAAATAATCTTAAAATAACACAACTAATAAATAATGGAGTCTAAATTTAAACTCATCGCTATCAGATTTTAAAATCAATAATCTATGTGGAGTTTACTTATTTTGAGTATGACAGCACATGATAGCAAGATTTTACTCCAATGCC